AGTGTTGGTCGGAGCGGTTCAAAGTTCAGAGGCGAGAAAGAGCTCTCACTGGAACGCCTCCGAAAGTGGGTTGAGCAGCGTGGAGGGGAAGCGTGCAGCAAAAAAAAAAAGAAAAAAAAAAAAAAAGGCTGGGAGCAAAGGGGGAACACTATTAGCTGGGTGCGTGCCAGTCATCGGAGATGAGACTGGATGTGTGTGTTTCATAGGCATGGCTGGATGGATATAACAGATGGGAGGGCAGGCGAGTTTGGCAGGAATGTGATGGTCACGTCGGTGGGGCGGGGCTCTAGGAGGAGAAGGCAAGTTTGACGCTGCAGGAGGAGTAGCCCTCATCACTGGCCATGCTCTGGAGGCTGCTGTGGTCGTCCAGGTCGCTGGTGCTGGCTGTGCTCACACTGTCCAGCTCTCCATGGGAGAACTCCGTGCTTTCCACGTCCACCTCAATCTCCTCTGTAGGATGGAAAAATGATGAAAGGGGAGAAGAACAGATCAATTTAACATATTTCAACTTTTATTGAGGATTATTAAGAAAACTATTCTCTGCTGATACTTTATTTCTGGATATTTTAAGAAACTTCCTACGTTTTATACTGTTTGCCATGTTGTTTTCTCCTTTGGATAGAGTCATTTTAACATAAAATACAAAGGAAAACATGTACCTCATACTTGACATCATTACAAACAAACAGACACCATGTTGGTTTTGCTTCAGTTCAGGAAACATTTTGCATTTTAAATCTGATGTCCTTCATCAGCACCTCGACATGCAGTCTCAGAGGAGCTCTGACCAACCCAACCTCAGTGCTATAAAATTAGACCGACAGCAGCTGGAGGCTCTAGCTGTTTTGACACATGCACTGCAGTCATGACAGAGGTGCATGTGAGAGCACAAATGTCCAGTGTACTCATACTAGAAATGAGCTGTTTTTTAACCTGCTGGCCCCCTATTGTAAAGTCCTTGTGATGGCAGATAGCGGAGCGCAGCTAATACCCTTGTGAATTTATCCCTAACAAACGGGCGTCATGGTGCACATTTTATCCAGGCTCCTTTGCTTAAACCACAGAGTAGGTTCTGCTGCGTGCTACATGTAAAGAAAAAAAATTCTCCTGAGATTGTACCAAGTCCATATGTGAAAGCATGTGTAGATGCTTAATTAAAAATCATGCATGCCACCTTACATACCTTGATCAGAGTCAGAGCGGTCGGAGCAGAGGGTGGAGCCCACACTGTCCATGCGTATCCTCTCTCCCTCCCCTGGGCTGTTCTGGGCTGCAGCACCACTGCCTCCACTCAGCAACTCCAGCTGACGCTGAAGGTGCCTCTGCTCGCGCTCCAGAGACTCCAGCTGGTACTGGCTCTTCCTGTCCGCCTCTTCAAGTTTCTGGTCAGGTGAAAGAGAAGAGGAGAGGAGTCTTCACCAAAAGACATTATAGACATTGTGTTGTGCTAAATAATCATATTCATGACTTGTAGGGATCATTAGTTATAAAAAACTTTATTGTCTATGACGGGGAGGAAGAAAGACATTCAGCTGCTTTGCAAAAGAAACTCGATCCTTGTTAATACTTTCTGAAGTCTTACTAGCTTGTAAATGAATTCATTGCTTTTCAAGGCTTGCCAATATCCTAGAGAACGCACAGGAGGGTTAAGTGTGTAAGCAAGAGGAAAGCCTCATAAAAATAATGCTGAGAAAAGAGGTTAGACAAATGAATAGCCAGCAAAGAAACAGGCCTTTTTCATACATTCATGTGAGAACACAAATGTCTGAATCAATGGGCTCAGATTAAACGGACTTTACTCCGCCAGCTCCCCACAAACTCTGTGGTGTCAGATTGAGCCCATGTGAGAACAGAAAAGGTAATTGTCCAGAGAATTCACAGCCATCGAGCCTCCATAAAAGGGTGTGAAACTACAAACACATGGACAATGCCCCAGAAGCTCTTTAGTATTCAGCAAATTAAACAAGTTTGTCCCCTCGGATTTTCCTGCTGTCAGCGACGACACCCCTAAATGATTTTCCTCACCTGTCTTGTTTACACCGTGTCGGCTTGTTTACGCCTTGCACCATTATGATACAAATGAAGGCCGTGGCAGGGCCCGATACAGCCACATTGTGATGTAACCTTGCAGCCTTATGTCATGGGTGCCAACATTAATGAGCGTGACTCCCAGCGACAGACCAAAACAATAGGCCATCAATAAGCGATGAAGAGACTCAAGTTGACAGCAGCAGCAGAAGTGCGAGTGGCAGAGCTGGCGAAGGCCCACCTCAACAACAATATCGCCTTTGTACATGTCCTGTCTGTTACGTGAGTGCATGCTATGCCTCGCTTTCCCCTTACAGACTGCTCACTCTCAGGCAGTCACATGCCTGCTTTTAAAGTGGATAACAAAGTGTGAAGTGTTACACTGCCTGCACAATTACTGTGGATTCATTTTATCATAAAGGTAAACACGAGTTTGGTCTTTCCAAGCAAAAATATTTTTTCATGTGTGACGAATGACATGACACACCATGTCCTAATACTTTCACCTTTCAAATTATTCAGTGATCTATCTAACAACCCTTCATTTGAATAACTGGCACAAAGCCTTGTTTTCTTTTGGGGGGGAGAAGTTCTCCAGTCCACAAGTTCTGAACAGAATTTTACATCAGGTGAATATTCGGTCATTTTCTGAGGCCCTTTGCAGGTGAAAGTGTGTGATGGTGTATTTTCCTTCATGATCATGGCATTCTTCAAACAGCAGACGTCTTTCTGAGCCAATGCTTAAAGAAAATATGTCCCAGAAAATAGCAGTGGGTTTCAGGCTTAATTTTAAGTGCATCTCCAAATGGAAAAAAGTCCTTTCTGGCACCTGCTTTGAATACCTTTTTCCCACTGATCCGTAATTGAGTGCCCAGTCTAGAACCAGTTACACCACAAGAAGCCTGATGTTGAACCCAAGACAACATCAAATTACTGGGGCCAAAATACTTAACGGACTGACCGTTCTCAGGCAAGTTCAACTGAAATGCTTTGCCACACAACACTATCTAACTTCTCATTCAGAAATCTGTCTAAATGGGGGCTGGTTCTCAGAGGACACCAACAGGACTGGCTCTGCATGAGCACTGATGCTCATTAACCTTTGAAAAATCTCTCTTCGCATATTTTTAACCCAATCATGAGGCACCAACTTGTGAGTCTTTGGTAATTTGCACCCTTTCTTTTCCTCATTTTTTTTCTGACCAAATGAATAATAAGGTTTTCATAGTCAGCTGGTAACCACTCAGTTTAAAAACCTTCAGAAAGGCATCGTCATTAATATCATTAAAGCTTGCAGTTTCTTTGTTCTGTTTATCACAAAAAAGAAAAAAAAAGAAAAACCAGGACCAGCTTTAGCTAAGAGCTGGGTAATCATATGTACCTTTATGTGTGCTTTGGCTTTGTTGAGCAGGCCCAAGGTAGTGTGACGGCTGCAGTCAGGTCCTAGGGGTATGAGGGCCTTCAACCGCTCCAGACACAGCCGCAGGTGAGCTCGTCTACAAAGGAAAAAGTAACAAAGAGGAAACAAAAGCATAATTAGATAAATAAAAAAGGAACAATAGGGCAGGGCGGCTGTGTGTACAGCAAAACATGAAATACAGTGTGGTAGTTGTTTGTCTTGTTCAATAGCCTCAGGCAAGTTCATGCAGATTGGGGGAGTTCTTTAAACAAAGCATTGAATGTGTAGCCCATTGTAACTATGTATCAAAGGTCTAAAGGCTCTTAAAGGAGCAGTGCACCCTAACAAATAAAATATGGCATCTCTCTTTACTTGTGATGTCAAGCTATTTAAATTATTCGATTTAAATTATTATTTTGTCTGTAACACCCTTGCTTCAGTAGCTAGATGTAGGCAGTATTCTGTTGTCTTTGGGGTGCTGGCCTCCACCCGTGACAGATTTGGCTTGAGTCTTGATCATCTCAAAATTACTGGTCAACAACGAGGAGGTTTATCATCTGCATGTATTTAATATATCTAGGTATGGATACTTGTCTCGCCTACATTACAATAAGTTTCATCTGGCGATAAAAGGCATGGTGGTGGTATAATGGCATTTCCAGGACCTCTCTCAGCTCATGTAGTCAATCATCCTGACAGTACCTTATTCTGTGACTGAAGACAAGCCCCAAGTACTATCTATCCTGCTAATGGACCCGAGTTGAGAGGTAAAAAGAGATAATTGTGGCTATAACACAATCACTGCTCCATTAGCAGGGGCTGTCTTTCAGCTAGCCTGGAGGGAAAGCTGGAGAGACATTAGGAGGCAGTAGACTTAGTGGAGCAACCAAGACTCAGAAACGTTCTCTTGGGACGCTTACAGGAGACAAACTCAAGGGACCAGAGCAGGGCTTCACTGCACCAAGTTGCAAGATGGGCTAGACAGCTCTCTGCTATGCTCTTTAAGACTGTTGGATACATGTAAGTGCTGCATAGAGTATATCTGTCTGTGTGCATATGTGTAGGGGTGGGGGTCAGTGTGGATGGTGTTGATAAGAACATAAGAGCACGCCATTACAGCCATTATGCCAGTAATGTGTGCGTGAGTGTGTGCTTCAACAAACACTGCATGTTTGGGGAGGGAACTAGGAGGAGCCCTGATTCAGGCTGCGTGAGTAAAAGTTAGGAAGTCACAACACACAGACACACACAGCCTTTTATTCTGGGAGTTTGCATGATGACTATCAGGACATCTGTCCATTTAATCAGTTCTATTCACAGGACAAAGCACAGCCCCCCCCCGCCCCCTTTTCCTCTTTATCTGCGTAATGTATATCTGCGTGTCTCATCTCAAACCCTCGTCTGCACATACATCAGTTGTCACTTATTCACATGCTACTCGTTTACAGCAGCCTTGAGCGATACACGCAGCTGCACCTGGGAGACGTCGAGGACGTACAACAAAGCACAACATGGCCGAATATTTCTGAGAGTGATTAGAGTTCAGTGTATTTTGTTAAAAGCTATAATCAGGATTATTACTGGATTATGTGGAAATAAGGCATTAAGCGTAATTTGCCATGTTTGCAGTCCAACCATTTTGAAATCAACTGAGCTATGCACGTAGTGTGTTTTCAGCTCTGCTGATATGCCAATATATTATTTATCAGGGAGCTGTTGCTGAAGAGCTGGCACAAATATTAATTCGCGTTACACCAACCTCATGCATGTACACACAAGTCTCATTCACTGCTTTTTCCTAGTCTATATGCAAGCATTTTTCCACAGATGGCCATCGGCTGTCTGGTAAAGAAGCGGTGAGGGCAGAGCGGGACACAGTGCTGATGTGTGGGTCTGTCTGTCTGGCTTGTTAGGCATTTAGTTAACAAACTCCAGACATCGGAGACCACAGCTTTCTCCTCCAGTCCCAGAGAGATAAATGTAAATATCTTAGCAGACAACCCCAGATAACCCTCCACTTAAAATCACTCCTCTACTCCTTCCATCCTTCTCTCATCCTGACCCACTGACATGGACCCCCACCACCCCCAAAAAAACAAAAAAAACAAAAAAACAAAAAACCATGAACTGTTCTGTTGACCACTATCACCACATTTCTATCACTGGATATTACTGAACTTGTGCTTCTCGGCATGTAAACCAGTTTGTCACTGGTCTGGCTGCTAAATCAATTTTTTTCTTAAACAGCATAAAACCTCAAACACCAAAGGAAGAGATTATGATGATGATAAACAGTTTGTCGCCTATTTTATCACTGTCCTTTCCTGCTTCTGACCTTTTTATAACCACCTTTGGTAATGTACTCAACACGAGCTACAGTAATCGCTAGTAGCGTTCAAAACCCTCTCTGTGCCTCTTATTGATAGACAGGCATGTGAAACGCCTGTGTGGCATGTGTTCTTATCTCTGGGTGGATGACATGCTTTACCGTGTAGCACTCCGATAACTATAAATGGCAAAGAAGTCCAAAAAGCATAACAAGGAGCGTCAGAAGAGCAGTATGTAACTGTGAAAATCAAAACTGAGAAGGGTTATTGTTGTGTAATTCTTCACTATCACATTGGACAGGCTGGTAATAGGAAGCCAAACTGGAGGTGCTATCCTCGACAGGGCAGTGTGTCAAAAATGATCGTGCAGTATGTCCCTAAAGCTACAGGCAAGCAAAGATAATGTCAGACACGTTCACCATGTTAGTCACCAACATTAACTCGAACACCAGGCAGCAGATGTGCATATGGTGCAGTCCCTGCACAAGGTGTTCAATTCAGAGCTAAATGACCTTTGAATGTCAGTGTCATCAACTTATTTCCAATCCTGATTGCAATGACCAGCCCTGTTGAAGAGGCTGGTCTTGAAGAAGGGTACAATAATGTGGCTTGAGCCACACAGAAAGACCTCTACATCACTGTGTCAATCTAGATAAAGTATAACTGTCTTACTTAGAGGCTAAAGGTCATAAGTTCCTGGCTACTGTTGATGCCTAACAGAGCAGGTCTCTAATCCCTAAAAAAGGCTTGTTTATCATGTCGACCAGCAGCCAAAGAGCTTAAGCCATTTACAGCTTACAATATGAGTGCAGGCTTGTGACCATAAATACCTGCTTGCTGCAGGCAGTATCACCTCCACCCTGTTGTAGCTATGTAACCAGCAATAGAGCCTTCTGTTCCCAGAGTTCTTAGAAAAGGCCGGTGCCAGTTACATAAACAGCTATGGATTTACTGTGTAGCCCCATAACTTCATGTCCTCTGCTGCTAATGCTAAGGACTGCTTAAACACATTTGGTTAAAGGATATGACATCACAGGATCACAGGCTGATTCAGTGGTGACTGATGTGGAGTCAATTTCAGTGGAGTTAAATAACAAGAAGTTGATTCTGTTCATCTGGACGTAGCGTTTTCTGTGAGAGAAACGTTTGGTCACTCATCCAAGTGACTTCTTCAGTCTCAGCTGACTGCAGGTTTCCCCAACCTTATAATTGGCTGTGAGGTCAGTTTCTTGATCATTAATATGCAATCACTGGTCAAAGATCATGGGGTTTAAATAGCTCTCCTGAGAGGAATGACCACTTGTTGAGTTCATTTTTTTGTATGTGTGAGTAATATTTTTAAAGAAGATTTTATAATGTTAAGGTGAGATGAACATAAAGTCAAGGCTTCCATATCTGTACAGAAGACTGAGTGAGTGCTTGTTTTTGTTACATGGACTAATCAAGCTATGATATTAATAAATCCAATTGAACAAAAAAATAATCATCTCATTCATCAAACAACAGATGAACAACGACTAACAAGATCTACTGTGTGACTGGGAATCTTTCCAGATATCTGTTAAGTGACAAAATGTCTAAGTAGACTAAAATCAGCGAAGAAAATAATTCCCTACTTTGCACTTCCAGAGTTTAATGAATGGCATGGCGATGTAGGTTGAATGAAGAGTTCTCCATCTGTGGCGGATTAGATGGCTACCCGTGGCTACCAGGACCTGTGCTACCAACTGTCACGAAGAGGACTGATCACTCAGTGACAGTAAGCAAAACAGCCTAGTTCTGTTCAGTAGAGGGAAATAACTGACAGTTAGGTAGTGAGTTTTCCCCCCCACACTCTCTCATAAAAATCATCAACAACAACAAGAAATATACATCCTCTAATGCATATGCACATTTATATGAATGCACTCCCATGATGAATCCTAAAAGACAAAGCTTACAGGTTGAACACTTAGAAAGCCAGCCTTTCCTTTTCCTCAGGAGACACTGATGCACTTCCATGGAATGTATGCATGCAAGTTTGTCATGCTTGGAAGTCTGGGTGTATGAACTGTGTCTTGTGTTCCTGAAGGACCCCAGATGGGTAAGCAGGCAAGCACGAGCTCTGCCTTTTGGCTTTGGCATGTGACAGAGCCGCCCGGCAGCCCTGGGTCACTGCACTGCACCTTTCTTTCATATGCACCCCTCAAAATCTAGCTTCTCTGTGAGTCACGTGCACAACATTGCCTTTTTATTCTAATAATCACATTTCTTTTTTTGGTACTTGCTTTAGTTCAGTTTAATACAGACTTACCTTTTATGTATAAGGGCTAACAACACTTCCGAGTGTAATTTAAATGCTTCTCATCGTTGCAAATGAACAATTAAATTCATGATTGATAAGATGAGAATTTATACTTTAAAATTCTGCACTGCTCTCCTTATATGCCTCTAGCTGTTTCGCATGTTGTCAAAATGCGTCAAACTGCCTCCAATGTGACTGAAGCAGAGTTCTTTTTAAAGAACCACTTTGAAGCGCTCCCCGTTGGTATGGAAGAGCTGCCCACCATTACTCTGACAGAACCTACGCACATCCTATGTACAGCAGCTCAGCACTCGCCTCCCTTTTTCTTGTATCATCCATGCAGGAACACACGTGCAGAAAAGGCTTGCCTTTGGAACAGCAATGAAGGGCACAAACACTGCAGCGCATGCATGCTTTCCTACGTATTCTGACATGTTGCTGTTATTCCCACACGATTAACACGACAAGTGAAATGTGAGGAAATCA